AAAAGATTTTTGTAATATGCTTTCTATATCCTTTTAAATTCTGTAAAATCTATGGTAATGTCTCCTAGATCTTGATATTGTAATTTTAAAAATGTATAATTGATATTGTGTGATAGGAAGAAAACGTCTAAAGGTGCAGGGGAAGTGGGAGGGATAGGGGAAAGGAAAAAAGGGAAAAGAAAAAATATGAGAAAAGGAACAAAATGGAAACAAAGTCTTTGCAAATAAGGAAGGGTGGAAGGGGTGAAGGGAGGGCAGAGAATGGGGAAAAAAATAACCAAGATACATTATGTAAAGATACAAGATCCCAATGATGAATGTAACTGCATTTTATACCTAAAATGTATGAATAAACTTAATGGGGAAAAAAAAAGAATTTTAAGTGCTGTGGTTTAGGACTATGTTATTTGCTTTTTAGATGAGCAGACAGAGTTTGCCGTAATGAGCCTCTCTTTCATGTTTGTTTTTTGTTTCTTTTTTTTCAGCTGAGGGTGTTCAAGTTAGCCAAGTCCTGGCCAACCTTAAACACACTAATTAAGATAATCGGCCACTCTTTTGGAGCCCTTGGAAACCTGACTGTGGTCCTAGCCATCGTGCTCTTTATTTTCTCAGTAGTTGGCATGCAGCTCTTTGGCTATAAATTCTGTTCCACAAGGAATTCACCCTCCTGTAATTCTAGTAGTGACTCCTGTCAACGGCGCTGGCACATGGGGGATTTCTACCATTCCTTCCTGGTGGTGTTTCGCATCCTCTGTGGGGAATGGATCGAAAACATGTGGGAATGTATGCGAGAAGTTAATATACCACTGTGTGTTATTGTCTTCGTGTTGATCATGGTGATAGGAAAACTTGTGGTGAGTTTCTTAATTTTTTTTAAAGAAAAAAATATATGTTCTCAAATGCATTAGCTTCTTTTCATTTCTTTGCTAGTGAAGGTTCTTATTCTAAATATAATATCAATCAAGTCTTTAAAATCTTCTTTTGAATTTGGTTTGAGGATTGTATGGTAAGCAGGAAATAAAACCCTTGACACATTGACTGATGGCCAATATGTAGTCTACTCCAGATGATTATTCTAAGACAATCACATTCCCTATGCTAGTGATTGGCTGAGGTAAGGGTTTGAACTTAATTGACTCAGTAAGATCTAAAGAGGTCACCACTGGGAAAACATGGGAAATATTTCTTGCTATTAAAAATATATATGAGAAAAATGACCCTTTACTTCCTCTGGACCTTTTTATGACTGGGACTGCTGGAGGGCCTCTAGACATGTGCAATGATGAGAAGAACCAGCCTAAAATAAAGCCACTGCTGAGGGAGGAAGAGTGAAAGGATGGGATAAATGTATTTTCATGTCATAATGGGTCCCTATTCTATTTTCAAGTTTCTTGTTATGCTACTTTGTCTTATTGTGTGACAGACTTGAGCCTCTTCCTGGTAGCTAGAGACATAAGTACTTAAGGAGAAACTAAGTAGGTGCACATCAGTGAAGGTCTGAACAAACAGGCACTACCTAGAGGTCCTTGAGTGTAAGATCTTCAGAATCAAGTTAGGACTGTTGGGCAAATATAATTAAGTATTCACACAAAATATTTTTTATCCTATGTACCTCATAAATGATGCTCACCCAGTAAGGGATACAAAATTCAGAAGATCTGGACATCACCAATGAGAGTGGGAAGGGAGCATTGAGGGGGAAAAACACCTAAGAAGCAAGAGAGACTTACACAGAGAGGAGAATGTGAGCAAAGTCCTAGGGGTGGGAATTATCATGGTGAGGTGAAGGAACTGTGACTAGATCTATTCATATCCTTGTGGCACTTCTGAGAAGGTGTCTCTTTTTGAGCTGAAACCAGAAACAAAGGAATTTGAAGAGGTCAAGATGGTGAATTGGAGGGTGTGCAAGTATAAGAAAAAGCCCAAGTAAGAAGGTACTGGGATGATGATGATGATGATGATGATGATGATGATGATGATGATGATGACTGTTTTTTGGTACCAGGGATTGAACTTGGGACCTTGTGCTTGTGAAGCAAGCACTGGAACCACTAAGGGTACTGGGATTACCTTAATCACTTTTCTCCTCACGGAGACACAACATCTAATACCTGAAACTTAAAGGAGGAGAGGTTTTTATCGGCTCACAATTTGTAGAGATTTTAGATCATAGTCGGTTGGCTCAAGGCAGGACAGCATGACAAAGGGGCATGGTGGAAGAAAAGCTACTCTTCTTATGATGATCAGGAAGAGGGAGAGGATCAGGGAAGGGAGATTTACCCTTTCATGTCATACCCCTGGTGACCTGCCTTTTCTACCAGATCCTAGCTCCTAACAGTAAGTCAGTTATAAAGCCCCCAAATCTTGTCACCTTCCAAAAGCCCCACCTATGTATGCAAAGACTCTTGGAGAACATCTAGATAGAAAATACAATGGGGATAATTTGAATTCAAAGTGATATATGCTAAATAGATATTGTGAAATAGGAAGAAAATGTTCAAATGGGAAGGGGAACAAGGGAGAGAGGAGGAAAGGAAGGAAAGGAAAAGAAAAAAAGGAGAATAGAAGGGAAAATGGACAGAAAGCTTTTGTAAATAAGAAGGGAAAGAGGTTGAAGGGAAGGGAGAGAATTGGGGGGAAAAAGAGGAAGCAAGATATATCATGTATGGGTACAAATTCCCTATGGTGAATGCTATCATTATGTATACCTAAAATGTACTGATAAAATAAATTTTTTTAAAAAGTGATATATGCTTCAAAGACCCAAACCTCTTTGCCTCCACCCTCATACCTTATTGAGATTAGGGGAATGAGGCCTAAAAAAACCACACAAAATACACTATCTCACACATTGTACAAACAGCAGAGGACTGCACAGTGGTCTTGGACATCAGACCCATATCCTTGATGGCAATTCCAGCAAAAATCCAAGCCCAGGATCTGGCTGGTCCCCAGCCTATGTACACTTCTGATTTGCCACACGATGACTACTTCATTCTTCTCTACCCTTGCTAGGCTCTACAGACACTTGTTACTTATATTTGGATAAACTGGATCTGGCCATTTGTATCCTTTAACTTCATGTTTTCTTTTGTCTTATTATCTTCCTTCCTCACTTGTTTTATTTTATAGATGAACTTTCTTCAGAGATAATAGTCATAAAAGGGGAAAAGCTCGCTCACCATACTTTTCCTTTGCAGTAATTTCAATTCCCCTGTTACCTATTTGACCCCTAGGTGCTCAACCTTTTCATTGCTTTACTGCTAAATTCCTTCAGCAATGAAGAGAGAAATGAAAACCTAGGAGAGGCCAAGAAAACCAAAGTTCAGTTAGCACTGGATCGGTTCCGCCGGGCTTTTTCTTTTGTGATTCACACTCTTGAGCATTTCTGTCGCAAGTGGTTCAGGAAGCAAAAGTTACCAAAGGAAAAAGAGACGACAGGAGACTCAGCTGCAGACAGCAAAGACATTCCCCAGGTCACAGAAATGAAAAGGGAATCAGAGCCCCAGGAGGAGTTTGATGTACTAGCCTCTGCATGGAAGACCTCAGACATGGGCTGTGATCACATTTGGTTGGCCCCACTTGCAAAGGAAGAGAATGATCTTGGATATACTTATAGAGACGATGAATTGCCCATCACACCACCTAATGCTGAAAGACAGGTATGAAATTTCATACACTAACTTATAGGTCATACACACTGAGAGTTCCTACAGGACGCTGTTGCTTCCCTGTTCTGAGAACTGTGGTGACATAATAAGGGAATAAATTGTGGTGGCTACACTTTGACCCCCAGATGCACATCCCAGGGCAGGTTTCAGACATGGTGCTGCTTGGATGGCACAATGGGAATTGTCAGAAGAGTTCCGAAGGGAGCAAGATCAGAATGGGCTGGAGCAACAGAGGAAAAAAGTGCCTTTTGATGAGCTCTGCAAGGATTGGCTGAGAAGTGAGAAAAGAGAATGTGGAAAGTGAAGTAAAAGAGGCAGTGATAGGAACAAACTCAGCCTCTGCAGGACCAGGCTGATGGATGAGAATTTGTGAGAGGTGAGGTTTGTCAGGGAGTGTGAGAGGAATGGGCGCTGTCTTAGTGTAACCTCCCATAACAAATATCACAGGCTGGATGGCTTCTAAACAACTGAAATTTATTTCTCATGGTTCTGGAGGATGGGAAATCCAAGATCAAGGTGCCAGCAGATTTGGGTCTGGTGAGGGTCAGTTTCCTGGTCCGCAAATGGCCCCTTCTCACTAGGTCCTCTCCTGGTGGCACCTAAGCATCAGGGGCAAACAAACTCTCTTGGGCCTCTTTATAAGGACACTAATCCCAGAGTTATCACATCCTTTCACCATTCAGAGGTCCCACCTCTTAATATCATCACCTTAGAGGGCAGGACTTTAACATATAAATTTTGGAAGGACACAAGCACTCAGACCACAACAGATGTACTAAATAAACTAATGACTTTGTTTTGGAAGCAACAGGGGATTCAGAGCAGAAGAGTATGGTGGAGCTAAGCTGCCTAGTTCATGGTGTCTGGGAAGCAGAGCAGGGGAACAGTACCAGAGAGGAATGGCCTAGGCACCAGATATAGTAACCAAAGTCATACCTGCACAAACCACCCACACACACCCAGAAGGGTGTTTCACCAATACCCTGGGCAGCTCCAATCCAATTAAGTTGACACAGTCAACCTCAATGGCCTCAAAAACTTTATAGAGGGCTGTCATAGTAAAAAAAAATTTCACCTGCAGATGAGACTTAATGTGATAGTTGGGAGGTGCTAGTAACTTGTTCCTAGTAAATATAGTAGTATGGTCTCTGTGCAACTTCTTTAAGTCCTGGGCAGTGAGCTACTATATAGGAATAACTCTGGTCTTTCAGATAGTGAGACAGACTCTATGAGGCCATGTGCAGTGATAGCAAGGATCCCTGAATGACAAAGAACAACCATCTCTTGGGCTGTAGGGATCAGGGAGCAGCCCAGAGATGACTCCATTTTCCAGGGAGGGGAATGTCTCAGCATTTTAGTCTTTAGACTACTTGAGTTCCAGGAGATTGAGTACTAGTGTTGTTTGGCCTGCAGGGTGAGATGTCTGAGCTCAGCTAGTTCTGTGTCTCTAGAATACAGAGAGCCATGTCACCTTAGCCCAGGGATGTATAGCTCCTTGGTGTGGCCAAGGAACTTATTCCTATGGGAGCAATGTGCCACTTTAACTCAGACCTAGGTGCTATGATTACTCTGTGGGGCCAAGATACTGTTAGCCCAGGAAGTAATGCACACCTTCAACTCTAGCTCTAAGGAGCAGAGTATGGAGGCCATTTGGAAAACTGGACCTCAGAGTGGCAGTTCCCTTCATTTTTTGCAAGATAGTTTTGCTGGGTATAAAATCTTGCATCACAGTTTTTGTTTTGGCACTTTGGATGTCATCCCATTGCTTTCTGTTCTCCATTATTTCTAATGAGAAGTCAATGTTAATTTTATAGGGATGGGCTTGTACATGATAAGCCATCCTTATCTTGCTACTGTCGAGATTTTTATCTTTGTTTTTCTTTCCCCCCATTAAGTTTACTGGTACATTTTAGGTATAAAATACATTTGCATACATCATTGGGATCTTGTACCATAACCTGAGTATCTTGGTTCCTATTATTTTCCCCCTCCCCTGCCCTCCATTCACCCCCTCCACCCTTTCCTATTTGCAAAGATTTTGTTTCCATTTTTTTCATTTTCTCATATTTTTTCTTTTCCTTTCTTTCCTTTCCCCTACC